TTCCTGTGTTTTGGTTAATATCAACTTCAGAAAAACAAATTGAGAGACCTGAGCTATTTCTCTCTGTATTCCAGGGGTGTGAAATCTCAGCTTTAAAGCTGATTTCAGCTTTTTTTGTGTTGGATTTCAGCTTTTTTTTCAGCTTTTTCCCTCACTTGCTGTGTACAAAGGTATAGGAGATTTCCAAAGTTCAGCTTTTTTGCACCTTTTTCAGCTGTTTTCAGCTATTTTTATCAGTGGTCACTCACACCCCTGGTATTCAAGGGAACTTTCTTTGCCACATGTAAAAAAACTGCTTCATTATTCTAATTTGAATAATTTTTTATTAAGGAATCAGTCAGAATGAAAAATCTTTCAAGTAACATTGTGAGTTGTCCCCCCCCCCAAAAAAAAACCCACCTAGATAATATGAACAAATAGCTTTCCAGATTTTTTTATTTTTTTAAATTTTAATTCCTGAACCTTCTTGTTCATCCTGTCGCAACTCGTTTCTGCTCCCTTGTTTCAAATATCGCTTCTGCAAATCCCACCTGCTTTGAAGGAAGATTATCTCACAAGTTTTTAAGACCCAAATCGGTCTCTACATGTACAAATGTAACTGGGAACCTTGCTGACTGACTGGGAACAATTTCTCTCATCTGGGTCGCCCAATCCAGGCAAATCCCAGGCAACTGGAAATTAATAGTCCAATCTTTCGGCGGCCCGCTGGGGTTATCAACTCTACTTCCAGTGCCTGTCTGAGAGAAAAAAATTAAAAAGCCTGTGGCCAGGAAGCTGGGATTATTAATCTATGTGTTCCCAATGGTGAGTATTAGCCTGCGGTTCAGATATACCGATTGGTCTGATTGTGCCTACTGCTATGTGTAAAAAAAGATGTTATCATTTACCTGCAGGAGATGAAACACGTAATGTTCATGGGACATACTCCCCCCCCTTTTTTTTTACATACCCTCATGAACACTACCATCTTACACTACAGATGCCAGACCATCTTGTGTTAAAGCTGTTTTACAAGTGTACATGTGCATTTGTTTTTTTAACATGGGTTTTTAATAGAGTACCGGTACATGTGTCGGTACTTGTACGAAAATGCTTGTTGGGGTGCTATCGTTGAAGGTTTTACATGCGTATGAACTTGAATATTTGAGGGTCTGGCTCCCTGAAGACAAGGGAATGAGTATTACATACAGAGTGTCTCATTACACTACAGGCACCAGTCTATGTTGTGCTGTGTCTGATTTACTTGGCTAATGGCTATTGCTTGCAATAACACATGCACCTATGGAAGTGGCTTCAGCTATTTCTCATAGACATGTACATTACTGCTAGCCATAGCCCAAGTAATCCGGACTCGGCCTTTAGGCTGTGAGCCCCACTTTAAACCCATGCTGTATTGAATACATGTACCGGTATGTTGGAATCTGTGTCAACCAGATCTAAGGCTCGCCTTCAGAATCCTGCTTGATAAATCCACATGAACTTGTTGCCCAGAAGCCCGGATGTTTTTCTCAAATCAAGACCCGACTTCTCAAAACATTTAGAATTCCAAACTGAACAAGATTAGCATTCCAGAATTCCAGTTTTGACTACCATTCTGTAAACCCGACCAGGTGTGTGAAATTATACCAGTCGCTATTTGCCCCAACCCTAATTTTGTCGGAATTTGTTTTGGGAAACAACGCAAGTCCCCTGGAAAAATAAAAGCTAGGAAATTGTCCTGCCGGAAGGCGAGGGTATTTTTTGTCCGGTAATCTCAAGATTTTGTGTCGGTCAGTCGGAAGTTTTGAAGTTTAGTGGCGAAGTTATTTCCCCTTTGGCTGACTTTAATTTTAGAAAAGATCAATATTTTTATTTGCCAAGGGGAACGAAGCAATTGCCTAGGTGTGCTTGGGAGGGAGCAAGCCCTCAAATATAAGTAATTTCCGTTTGGAATTTGTTGTGAAAAAGTAAACGTGCATATTTACAGAAAAACATTTTTTTCCTGAAAGATTATTGAAAATGGGTTGAAAAAAAAAAAAATTACATTCAGAGATCCATAACAAAAAAGAGTCAACAATTTCCCCCCTAAATTCTATTTTTGGTAATTCTAAAAAAAAAGGCCCAATTCAAGTCACCAGAGGACGTACAGTGTATTGTTCAATTAATGTATTTTCAATTTCTTCACTATAAATCATATCACTCAGCAAAATACCAATTCCAGTCAGATAGTTTATAGCCAAAAAATTATTTAAAAAAACAGAAACGAATATTTTAAGAACAAAATAAAGTACCAGTAGGAACAAATTATTGCTACATTGTCAATACCTCTTCAACTTAGATGAAAGATAGATAAAAGATAGATGATGTGAACTGTTTGAAAGAAAAACATAAGAACAAAACTGACCCAAACGATTGAATCTCAGGTGCATTTCACTGGAATTTAATTAGGCTATCTCCATCCCCATATCATGACAATGAGCCATGTACATGTACGCATGTACCGGTATGCGGGCAAACGGCACGTAATTGGTCATAGTGGCTCATCTGCTCCGGGACGAGGGTTGTCATAACATCACTCAGGAGACGATTGAGTCATTGAATCATGAGGATGCTCTGGAAATGAAGTACACTGTTAATTAACCTGCTGGTTCTCGTTGGTGCACATATTGTTTACTTTTTTCATAGTCTCCTTTTGAATTTGGTGTTAAATTTTAATTACGCATATAAACATAAGCATAATTTCGTTTTTTATATTGAGCTGATATACTGTATCATGTTTGCTAGAGTCTTTGTGGTATATGGTAAAAAACAATTGAACATGTTCATACATATGTACATAAAAAAAAATTACATTTTATACTGGTAGTTACATCATGTAATATTCAAATTATTCCGATTTTATTTAGTGCAAGTACTTACATAGTACTTGTATGTTTCCCAGTGAATTGGAAAAGAAATCTGTCGGTATAAGGATCTTGAGCAATGCACGTGTTCATTTATATCCTATTAGACAAAAATCAAAACTAGGAATGTACATAAACCTATAACATTGTGTAAACCAAGAGACAGGACTGAAGTACAAATAAATTGACAACCATATTAGGGCAGCATGCCTTAGGCTAATGGCCATACACATACATGTTCGCCCACATGCACATAGACCCCAGTAAGGAATTTGTGGCCGCTCACAAAAATCTGGCAAATACATGTAATTAACAAAACAGAAATGAGAAAAAATAACTGGTTTTAATTATCCAAGATCTCCAAAGGTGGTCTGGTGCCTGGTGACCACAGGCTACACTCTGGCTGGACAGGGTGGCAGCAGTGGACCAGACCGCACTGCTAGAACCGGCTGACAGGGTCGCCATTGGCCGATCGGCTCTGTGGGCTCATGCTGTCGTTCACAGAGGGTTTGGTATGCAAGGGGCTGGCACTGACAGGACGTTACCTGCCGTGCTATGTCGCCAGACCCCTGAACGTGGCAGAGATCATAGACTGAACTTGGCAGACTCGATCAGAAGTTCAATATTTGCCAAGACAGATTGGGATAATTAAAAACCTGCAAAAAAAAAAAGGCTTATCAATATTGTATGGTTCGCTTCTGTGGAGTCAGAAAATGATAGAGCAGGGTTGATGACCGAGAATACGCCTATTGTACATCTTGAATATTTTTTTTGTGGTTGTGATAATTCACAACACAATGATATTTTAATATACAGTGTCAATATTTGTAGTGTCATTTCCTGACCTGTTGTTTTACATACAAGTTTGCTTACAATCTTTCAATGTTATCCCCATTTTTGATTAATTACACTAGATTTATTTACTGTTAACTTCAATATCATATCTTTCCCGGCCCTAATTTGATCTACTTACTTCAGTGAATTTTAATAAAAGATCTCATCCAAAAGTTGCCCCCCCCCCCAATTTTTTTTTTAAAATAAAGCAATATTTTACATGCCATTTTTGGCACTCACACTCTTAAATAACAATTTTTTTATATGACTTCAGTGATTCAAATCCTTCTCATCAATACAAAATTTCTCTGCTTATTAGTCGCTTACCAGAAGAGCTACATTGTAAATAATTCCTTCATGCTGAATCGTGCAAATGCTTTAAAAGCCACAAGCTTGATTGACTCTCCCAAGAATATCCCCCAAACCACAGTCTGCCCACAAGATGGAGTTCATATGCAGGTCAGCCAGCATGTCTGGCCACAGACCCACACTGGAACCAGCCTACTGGCTTCCAATTTTTCCCTCCAATTTTCAGAGTCCCACAAACACCTGGTGGTTTATTTACGACGGCCAGATGTCAAGGGCAAGGAACAGACACTGGCCATGAATTAACTGCTGGCTCTAAGGCCAAACCGCTCAAACAGAAATCTGCATTGTTTTTGAAAGTCTCACAAATATTTGGGGTTTTGGAAGAAAAAAGAAGGAAAAAGCGTGATTGATGAGAAAGCCTGCTTGATTTAATTAGCTCAGTTGAAATCGGACACAAATAATATCTATGGATGCGAACATGTGTGTTTTTGCACTTCAACTACATCTATGTATATTTACACAGGCTCCTTTCTATACACGTAAATGCAGTGCACAATATGTCCTTAACAAACTAGGAACTGTTTTGGAAATTTTTAACTTGGGAATTTGTTTTTGATTTTGTTGAATTTTGTTGAAATTTAAAAAAAATATATTGATATTTGATTTTTGATTTGATTTGATTTATTTGCAATTTCCACAGTTATGATGCAGATAAGTTAATATGTAACAAGAAAAAAAAAATTGTTTTGAATTGTAAATTAAAATTAAACATAGAGAGTCTCCCATTCAGTGGAAAAAGCAGGGATAACGTAAAAAAAGTTTTAAAAACTTATTTTCATTGCGGTCCCAAAAGAAAAGAATGAGTGATACGTCACGTGGATCAGATAATTGAAAGCCAAGATTGCTTGTGTGTTTCTAAAATCAGCACTCAGATTCTTAATTTGCAACTTTTGTTCCCTTTTTTTTCCCATCCAGGCACAATCCGCACTGCTGAGCTCCTAGACCGTGAGAGCATCCCGTATTTCTGGCTGACCGTCTACGCCCAGGACCACGGTGCCATGCCTCTCCACTCCATCCTCGAAGTCTTCATCCGCGTGGGAGACGTCAACGACAACTCCCCCATCCCGACTAAGGCGATCTTCGAGGCGTACATCCCGGAGAACTCGCCGGCACTGGAGGAGGTGATCCGCGTGGAGGCGACGGATCCGGACGAGACCTCCAATCAGGCCCTGACCTATGAGATCACCGCAGGGAACGCCTACCGTCACTTTGCCATCAACAGCTTCACAGGTCAGTTTTTATTGAAAAAAATAATAAATAATACAAACAAATAAACACAACCCCTTCCTCATGAAAATCCCAACCAAACAAAAATTGAAAAACAAAATAAAAGCAAACAAAACAAAAAACAAACCAAAACACCCAAAAAATATGTTATTCGTCCCCGTACTGCCCCAAACCGCCCTGCCTGTTACATCTACCCCTTGTACTGCCCAAAGCCTCTTCATCACCATTTAATTGTATGGATTCATCAAGGAATGAATACAATGTAATACATTGTACATGTAGGACAGGTGTTAATGGGTTTTAAGACAGGATCATGATACATTACACATAAAGCAAGGGCGGCTGTGTGGTTACATGTACTTTTGGAGAGATCTGAAAACGGCAAACCAGCTTCCACAATTTGCATTGCATCTTGAGTTGTTGATATAGGAACTCTCATGCTCAAATGGGTCGGATCATTTTCATCTTTGTATGCATGCACTGCACTTTCATACCTTCCAGATATCTGCTATCAGTATCACAGACTGTTGTTTACACAGATAATGCAATCCTCACCCCTCTTTTTCGGAACATTTACGGAAAGTTTACTTTAAAATTACGACCCAAAAGGACTTAATTTTCAAATTTGGCCACCTGTGGGTGGTCAGCTGTACTAAGCACACAAAAACAATTTGTGGCCTGTTTGTATTTCAAATTTGTCCTCTTCGCGTTGTCAAAAAATTACTGTACAGTTTTTCTTTCGAGTTTGAAAAATGTCTTTTGAAATTCAAGATTTGAGGGGGTCCGGCTTGACAGCTGGGACTGCTAGGCTTGTTTTGAAAGCTCAGCGCTGGCTTGCCAGACAGCGGAAACAGTTGTGCAGTTACAACTGGGCCCCGGATTGGGCGCTAGAAAAACAAATACAGTAATTCTTCATCTGTCGGCCTGTCAGAATCCACACGAGCGGGGGGAAAAAGAGGGAAAACTGAGAAAGAAAATAAGACGGTATTTCACCAGAATTTCTCTCGCTTTCAGGTTCAGCTGTTTCTTAGTGACGGGCTTCACCATTGAGTTTGTAAAACTAACAAATGGTGGGGGGGGGGATGGGGGGGGGGGTTGTTGGTTGGAGGGCGACAGGACCGGTAGTGGGTGATCATTCAACAAACAACAAGAACAGGGGCAGTTGTGTCAACCGGATGATAGACTAACGAGTCAATCTCGGGATTGTGGTTAGCGGACAAAAATAGGTGTTTTTGTTGGTCTCTGGCGACCCGGAAATGGATCTAAACTCTTTTGCAATTTTTTTATTTAATTTTTTTTTTTACTAAAGTAATCCTTTTTTTCCCCAGGTTTATTAACAAAGAAAACACAGTGCACCAAATTGCACATTGCTACATTTTAATTCTGCGCAATTAATGTGAAGATAAATGAAACATGTATGGTACACATGATCCAGGGCTGCCATTGCCAACTCTCCCGCATTGAGCCTGAGACTCGCGCATTTCAGGTTATTCTCATGCTCTCATGCCCACATGGGATTTCTCACGCTAACAAAAATAAATGCATAATTGACACCAAACTCGAAAATGATGTTTACACGTAAATGATGATCTTTTGTTAAAAAAAAATGGTTAAAGTGGTCAGATATTGCCTCAGATCGCACCACAGAGCATCTCAAATCCAATCGGGGGGCCTTAAGCGGGCCACAAATCCCACACAGTTTGTGCTTTGCTCTCACATTAGTTCTTATCGAGCTCCATCACCAAATTCTCCTTTTCAGCTCTCACTCAAAGTTGGCAGTCCTGCATTACTGCAGAAACATCTTAATTGCTACCTTACCTCCACGCAGTTTACATATTGGCCACTGTGCAGCAATCAGATACATTTTCAACATATGTATGAGATCAAGATCATAATTAATGCTTTTTCTTCCAGGGTCCCAGAGCTATTTTTTTTGGCGACTGTCTCTAGCACGCCAGACACATCTGTTCAACTGTGCAGTGCGATATGTTTACATTTAGAACTTGTTTTTCTCATTCGGCTTTACTCCAAACTTTCTCTTCCAACTGGTCTGAATGTCACAACACCCTGATGTTATGACATTCAGGCAAAGGTTGGGTATGTCTAGCTGACTGATATTTGGGCTGTAAGCATCTTGCAAGAAGACAAACCCTTGGCATTTTGAAAAACACAGGATGTTGTGTTTTGTAGCTATGATAAATGAGGGATAGGATATTGGATGGAAAGAGAATGTATGATGGGATTTGCAGGCACTTTTCAAATCTGAGTTTTTCTGTTTACAAATGTGGGGAATAAGATATTAAAGGGGAAAAAAAATCGGCCCAGACTTATTAATTTTTGAGTGATGGAGAATAGAGTTGAAAATGACAAAGTCAGTTCAGGGGTTGGATAGTCATAATTTACTTGAAAACAGGAGATCTGTTGTCCAGTTCCAAGTTTTGTTTTAAATTTTTTTTTTTTTTTTTTTTTTGAATTCAATCTCTGCATGGCTATAACCATCCACGTGGGATGAATTTGATTAAATAAATTCCAAAGTGTCAAGGATAATTTTTTTTAAGGAGGAATATATTCACTGTCAGAGTCACTGTTTGTGTGGAAAAAGAATTGACTGTTTTATATAGGAAATACACTTGCTTTTTTATAGAATTTACTAGCATTTTTGAGGAGCTAGGGCAGCTTGAATTTAGAAAATTACCCAATTTACAAACAGCGTCTGTTATGGTACTTTTTAGAAATCCCCCAAAGACTGCTGCCAGTGCACAAGCTGTCAATTTCGTTCTTTCACTGACTTTTTGAAAAATTAAGCCCAAAATTCTCACAGGATTTGGAAGTGTTTGGTATGGAATCCTGCATTTGAGTATTAAAAGGGGATATACCGGTATGATCAATGATTATTTGATTTAAAAACTGGGAAAAGTGGTCAGAAAATAGTAACGCTTGTATCAAATTGTTTTGATGCATACAATGAAGGAATCACATTAAATCACGCACAAGTTCATGTAGTGTGTAGGACTTTTTTCAATTTTGTTCCAAAGTTTGAAACAAATTTTACAGTGGAAGATCCTACTCCTTTAACATTTTCTCGCTGTGAATGGAGAGTCCCGGTGTGGGAAAACCATCGTGATCACTTGCAGCATGCATACAAATCCTGCTTGGTATGGGACATTGTGTGTAAATGGGTAGGTGTGGAATTCCCTGTTTGCACAGGAACACTTTTTTTTGGGTTCGATGTTGACTCAGTTTCCCTCAAATTTGTTAGAGTTTGGAGTTCTGTAAATGCTGCAAGAACTTAGGTTGTACTTTTTCAGGTGCAAATGATAGATGGTAAACAGTCTGAGTGGCACAGAATATTTTTTTAAATGGTGTGAAAATTCACAGATTGTCAGATTTAGGCCCTTTGCCTGGTCCACACCATTTCAGAAAATCAATTTTTTTTTAAGCTGAAGGAAAGTGAAACCAATTTGTTATACATTTTCCCCCATTAGAGACAGCGTGTGAAATACGGATATTTTAGGGTTCATGTAATGAGAAATGTATTATAGGGTAAATACTAAAATTTAATGATGAAATTGTTGCCATCAGATTTAATTCCCTATCAACAAAAAGCGGTCAAATATTGTGTTTGTTTCTTGTAAATAGATTACTCCTTTGCAGTGACAACCACCGTGGTTGTCACTGCAAAGGAGTAATCTATCCAAAGTTTTTCAAATTGTTTTTTTGGCTGAGCTAAAGTTATTGTTGACTCGCAAAGGCTTCATTCCGAGTAAAGGAAGAAGCCAAAATCTCATGGTCTTTCCCTTCTCCACGGTCGAAGATCAATGATCTTTTGTTGAAAAGTCCTGCCTCACCAATAGGATTAGAGCATCGACGGCCAAGAAAAGAAGAAGATGCGCACTGACTTGATCTTCTTAGGTGACTCTAAGCGGATTCAGGTCTTATGTTATGCCTTGCGATTATACAGGAAGGCAGAATAATGTTGTTTTGACAATTTGAACCGCTGAAGGAGCATGGAACACTGCCTGACGGTAGTGTTAAGACTGTATTGATGATTATAGCTTTTTGTCGTTAACTTTTCAATTAAAGGTCTCTTCAATTCTCACAGTTTTCAAAAAATATAAAGCTTTGATGCCTAAAATTAAAACTGTTGTTGTTACTACTGGTAAGTTGTCTTTATAAAGTGCCTTAACACGGAGGGAAAAATCTATTAATTTCAGTTTGTTGATCGGACTGTTGCCCAAAACATTTTCCCCAAAATGTAAAAATGTAATATGCAACAAACTGTTGAAGATGGAAATCAATTATCTTTATATTTGTATATTGAAAGGTAAACAAAAATGTACATGAATACAAAAATTCCATCAGAATGAACTAAATTTTGATGTTTTGGAAGAAGACACAAACCAGTTGAAGAAGGAACTAGAATCATACCAACTCATTTTAGGAAGCGCAACATCGCAGAATCCTGTGGTGTTTAGATCCAAATCCAGCACCACTCATGATGAGTCATGCTATTTAACCCAGTGTTCATCTCAAAACCCTGCTCATTTCTGACTAATCTTTATCATTGTCCCAAAAAGTGGCCATACACTGCCTCCCCTGAATGCATGGGAACAACACCCATGACCCTTCAAAATCCGTAGGGTCTAAATCCCATTCAGCCTAGTCACCAAGCAGAGAGACTTGAGGGATAATCACCTGAAAAAAACCCAAACGATTGTCCCAGCCTGGTTGAGCCACCGATTTGTGGTTTCTAATTGTGGGAGATTGTTTCTTTTGTTCCAGGTTGTAGATTTTATTGCCCCAAAACATGCTTAACAGCTGCCTCATGTATTTTTGTCATGTGATGTAGAAGGCTTAAAGCCCAAGGATTTTAATTGTGGGATAGCCTGGATTTATGGCACAAGGCTTGACATATTGGACACTGTTTTGGAACTGAACTGGCAGCTTTTATTGATAAAATTCCCAGGAATGATTCAGGTGTTGCACTTTTATGTAGCCCAACC